GTAGAGGGATATGCTACCCTTTCCATATTTAACACATGCACACACAGAACTGCTAAGCCATAAAGTAAGCTCAAAGACGCTCCGTGCAAGGACAACAAAAACCAGACCTTCCAAAATGATAACCAGGATTTTATAACTCATAACACCATGCATGTTATATTAAAAGTGGAAGACTTTTTGAACTGCAACCTTTACATCCCAATCCAATAGTTCTTTCAGCTTTGAAATATCCACAATCTGAATTTTATAGGGATTATTTTTATTATAGGTAAAGCAATTAAATCTCCATATTGAGGGATGAAAACCTTTTAAAGCCCTTCTCAGAATATCAAAAGAAAAGGAGGCTTATATTTAACAGGTGTGACAACCCAACACAGGACATTTCATTGAAAAGGAGCTTGACATTATCCAGCAACAAATACTTAAATTAATCCAAAACATCTTTTGGATAAAAGGGATTTTAAAATGAATTAGGTCGACCACAAAACTTTATATAAAAAGAAGACCATCTCATGTATGAAATACTTTTAAAATACTAATTCTTATGGAATGTATCAAGTGGTGTTTTTATAAAAACTTTCCTTTTAAATGACATTTTAATTAGAATTATGATGTTTGTCCTGCAATACAGAAAGTGACGTTGTCTCTTAGTTTTCTTTTGACCTCTCAAGTTAACTTAATTGATTTAATTCACTGAAACTGATTTCCTCCTATTTGACCTAAATCATGGGCCAGACTGAAGGGAATGCTGTGGCCGTAGGTAGGGATTAGATTGGACAGCAGAAAGAATTTCCTAACTATAACTACAAGATGCAATCAGTTGGAGGAGATGATGTCATATGCAAAATTCTCGGATTCTGGATACTGAGATTCTTCAAGGTTAATGACCCACATTTTATGAATGGGCTCGGTATGCGTCTTTCATCTTTTAAGAAATTATCTTTCTCTTTTCTCTCTTCTCTCTCTCTCTCACTTTGCAGTGTCTTTTGGGGGAACTGGAGATGGTAGTGAGGGAGAGTCACAAACAACATTGTTTCAAATATCGGGGTTTTTCTGAGCTCATTTTGAAATCATGTTCCTTCCACTACTAAAGTGCAGTTCATTATTCTTAAAATGTTAAACATTATTTTGCTCATCAGCACGCATATTGTTTTTAGCACTGTTCTGTACTGTGATAATATTCAGTGCTAGTGATGATGATTGAGAAACATTGGCAGTGTATTAAAAAGCTTTTAAAGTATTAAAAAAGAGTCATTGGCCTGTGGGCTACTGATCTCATTGAATAGGTTCAGAACCTGTTTACTTTAAAGCATTCCCCTAAATGTTAAGGGTTCACTATGGTGAAATTTGAAAATTAGTGGCTAATTGGAAGATTTAAAAATCCAGTAAAATATCTTGGATCTGGAATATCTGGAGAATAATTAGAGAGAAAAGCAACCAAAATATGCATTTGGTAGTTAAGAAGAGTCAGATCAAATATTTTTTAAGACCGTGTGAACTGGAGTATGGGGACTTCTGTGTGACTAGTGAGCACGTTCAGTACTAAAGGAAATGCAATCGACTTTGCAAATGACGATTCGAGCAGAGTGTATAAACTGACAAGACCCTATTACTAAATACCCACTTTTAAATATACATTCTGCTCTTTGTACCTCAGGGGGAAAAAAAGGATGCATGCTTGTCAGAAATTTAATCTGTTTTCAATATCTATTTTTATTGGTATCTTCTCTTGGCCACCTATGGAGAAGTGGGCTTGTATCCCAACTACCATGGTGTGCCTGTTTGTTCAAGAAATTTCCTAGGAATGCATTTGTAGTTTCACGAAGGCTGTCCATCTTAACAAAGGAAAACCTTCCTTAACTGGAGTCTCAAATTTTAATGAGCCCATTTTGGCATCTCTAGGGTTAAAGATCCTCTCAGAACCTATAGGTACTGGAAAAGGCGGTTTCTAAACTCAGCTGCTCAAGTCCATTTTATTTTTTTCCCCCAGCAAACAGGAAATGGAGCCCTGAACCTTTTTTTTTTTTTTTCCTAACTGGAAAGTGCGCGGGGAGGGGGCACACTCACCCTGCCCACATCCAACCCTGAGCCTGACCCAGACTTGGGGGTCTCTGTGTGTTTTTTCTTCCCTCTCTTTTTTTCTATTATTTTGGCAGACTTTTTGGAATGTCTGGGAGCTAAGGGCTTTGCTTCATGGAGCAGAATTCTGAAGCAAGAAAAAGAGAAAGTTATAGACTAAACCACAGAAATGTAAACACGTCTGCAGCTAAAATAACTCCACTTTCATTGAAAACACTCCTCCCTCACAATCAGACTTCTGTGTGCTATGGTCAATAAAACTGCATGTTAATAGCGACCAATTAATAGATTATGTTGCTCGGCCTTAAAAGTTGAGGGAGTTTTAATTATTATTTTTCAAATTAAAGGAGTGCTTATTCCCTCCCTTCCCTTGGGGTGGGGGGCGGGGGGAGACTTAGCTTTCTTTCTGGCTGTTTGCTGAAATTCTTGGCTGTTAAAGTTTGGAGAGGGAGGGACATGGGTAGTTTTCACTGGGTCGGAATGGGGAGAGTGTGCAAGAGATCGCTCCAGGACAGGTTCCTAGAGATCGCTCAGGGACGGTCGTGACGGCCCCCGAGGGACATGAGAGAAGAGGAGCGGCGCTCAGGTAAGCTCGATTTTGAGCTCGGAATTCGCGTAGAAACGAAAACATCTGGAAGGGGCTTAGCCCCGTGCCTCGGGCGCAGACGAGCCGAGCCTCCCGGCTGCACCCTTTGGAGGCTGCTTCTTGCAGACGCCGTCGTCTCCCAAGGGCGGCTGTCACCGCGTGCGTCGGTCAGACCAGGCCGCGGTCCCCTCGGCATCCCTGCGTCCCGGCGGCTGCATCCGGCTCCTCCCCACGACCGAGGTCCGGGCCACAGCGCCTCTCCCTCCGGACGCTCCGCGCGACGTCTTCCTAATTCTCATCAGCATCGAGGGCAGTCCGCGGTCATTTTACAAACGTCTAGTGTCGCAACCGTTTTCACTTTTACCATTTTCAATGTTTGTAACGGTTTTCACTGAGGCTGGAAAAACATCACTTCTCGCTAAAAGCGACCCCGAGTTAGGAGCAGCGCGCACCCCCGCGGCTCCCCCTCCCACACTTTCCCTCCCCTGACCCCCTCTCCTCCCCTCTGGTCCTTCCCTTGCTCCTCGCCCCTCCAGGAGTCGCGTCCTGGGTTCCTTTCCTGCTGGGGCCGGACTCTCTCCTCCAGCCGTCCCAGTCTCTGGTCCTCCGCCTCCTCCTCTTCCTCCTCCTCCGCCTCCTCCTCTTCCTCCTCCTCTTCCTCCCGGAGCCGCCGGCCGCGTCCTAAACCGGAGCAGGGCGCGTAGTGTCCAAACCTGCCCGCGCCGCCCGCGCTCCCGGCCCCGAGGGCGCGCGCACGGACACGCGAGCACACCCACACCCACGCGCACACGGACACGCGCGCTCTCGAACACTCCCGCGCGCTCGCACCCACGCGCACCTGGCCACGCGCGTGCACTCCCGCCCACGCGTCCCCGCCCCGCCCCCAGCGCGCACTCCGGCTTTGCAAGTCGCGCGTCGGGGCGGCCGCCCTGCTCGGCGATTGGCGGGAGCCAGAGCCTCCCTGAGCCCGGCGCCCAAACCATGGGCTGAGCCCGTCGGCGCCGAGGGAGTTAGTGCGACCCGGCTCGGCGCCCACGGCCAAGGCACGCGCGCGGGCACACGCGGGCGCGGACACGCGCGGACACACACGTGCGGGACACGCCCTCCTCCGACGGCGGCGCTGACCTCTCGGTAAGTCCCGCGCCCCACGCGACCTGCTCGGTTCCCGCCCTGGCGACGGCGGCTGCGGGGACGGGGACGAAGGCAGCGGGGTGGCCTTAGGGGCGCACTCTGCAGGGCCCTTCCGACGGCGCCGGGACAGGTGGGGCGTGCAGCGCCGGGAGGGACGGCTCGCCAGTGCGGGGTCCCCTGGAGGCGCGTGCAGTCAGGTGCGGATGGAGATGAGGAGGCACCCCGAAATTGACAAGGGCCAGGAGAGCACACCGCAGGGACTTCATCTGGGGCCCCGACCTAGAGGTTGTTTGTCCTTGTCTGGAGTGGAAATCAGGGTTGAACTAAAGCTCACGCTTGGCCTGAAGTAGGGACCAGGTGTGAGGCTGGGCTGTCACTGTCCGCTGGGTCCTGATGGTGGAGTGACTCCCGACGGCGCCCTCCCGCACACGCCGCAACACCGGCTCTGGCACCAGCTCTCAGCGCCAGGAGCGGTCCCTCTCCTCTCCCACTCTCAGTCTCCGTCTTTTCACCTTCCTATTCCTCAGCCTGCAGCTGTTATGTTGATTTGCCCCCAATTTACCACTCTAATTGCAAAACTTGGCATGTTAAAAAAAATATGGTCTTTATTTTATCAGCTAGCCTTACCTGGTTTCTGTCTGAAGTACATCATCCGTTTATTGCTATGGTATATTGCATAGATGCATAGAGGCATTAATTATCTTTTAAGTACAAGACACATGCTGTTATTAATAGCAGACTACACTGCCCAATAAAATGGATAAACAATTTCAATGAGAATGTGGATTTAATACAACTCTTCGTTGATCTAAGGGTAATTTCCTTTATCTTTCAAAATAACATATTCCTCTGTGCTACAGGTTTCACACTCACATATCTCTATCGCTTTTGTAGTTCAGAAAACTTTCAATGTGAATACAAATACATTTTATTTTTCCCTGGGTGACATACATAGGACACAGAGTTTACTTACCTTTGGGACTATTTTTGACTGTTTTCCATTCTCTCCAAGTAGTTTAGAGCCCCCAAAGGGAGAACTGTCACAGTCCCGAAGTTAACCCTTGCTCCGCCGGCATTGGCTGGTGCCCACTCCCGGGGCAGACCAGAGCTCAAAGCCTTCATCCATAGGAGGATCAAGCAACAGACGTTGTGAAAAACCCAATCATGTAAATTAATTCACCATGTGTCAAGTTATTAATAAACTAATTACACCATCGAAATTATAATTCTAGCAGAAAAAGGGTGACCTCTGCAAACTTGTGGCTAACATGTCAAGTTTTACAATTCTCAAGAAAGGCTTTAGAAGAGCTACACACATCACAAATGCTATTTGCCATTTGGTAATCCTAGCTTCGGTTTGGGTCAATGGCTTTTGGAAAGTACACTAAATTAGTAAATGGGTAATCTATCTCGAGATATTTGTTAAGGAATATGTAATTCCAGTGGCACTTATAATTTCAGTTTCTTCTCTTTTGTAACATTTTATAATTACTTCATTCTATTTTAAAAAATTAGAGTAGAATTGTAGTATATTATTTCACATTTATCTGTTATTTCATGAGGAATTATTGGTAATTTAATCTGATGCGAATTCTTTAGCTAAAATTTAGAAAATTAGCATTTACTATTGAAGGGATTGTGTGAGGGGCCTGCATGCACACCTGTATATGAACTTCCCCCCTCCACTTTCCACGTTTTGCTTTGTTATTAAAGAAAAACCTTGTTGAATTTTTAATCTTATAAAATCAGATATTTTATTTGTTGTAAGACCTAAGATCCCAATGGAATCCCAGATACATAAGAAGGAAAGCATCTCTGAAAGACGTCAAAAGGAATTTGTAACTTACATAGTATTCTACAATGTTATATGTTATGTATATTTTAAACGTATCATATTGTAAGTAGGGTAATAGGAAACTTTCAACACTTTTTTTTTCTAAAAGTAATATTGGCCTTGATTTTTTTTTCTTGCTATCTTTAAACGAAAGATAAATAAAAGGGGGGTTTTATTTCTTCTCAAAACAGAAGAGCTAATGTTTCTGGAATCGTTTCCTATTCCCAGGCAAAAACCGATAGCAAGTCAGCCCGAGTCCTAGGATCTGGAGTGGTGGGAAGACATTGTCATACTGAATAAACGTCTATGTTGCCTGTTATTTCATAGAACTCCATTGAGAAGGTGTCGACACAGAGCCACCTACATTTCTAATGCGACTTACGGAGTCTGGGAAGCAGTTTGGTCAAGGTGGCAAAATCCCAGCTCTGTGATGCATCAAGTCGCTTCTCAGTTTAAATTGACAGCTGATCTCTCTGAATGCAGGTCTCTTTTTGTCACCTCTTTGCTGCTTTACCCTTTGCGTCCGAGGCAGTTTTCCAGAGAGGAGGAGGATGGCAAAGGAGTTCTTTTTCCCTTCCCCAGTGTGTAAGGATACTTGGGCTTTCCCAGGGAGCATGGTCCTTCACAATACAGCTATTGTTTCATCTTCTACACCTTGAATTGGAACCTTTGGAGCAACGTTTGTAAGAAAAGTAGGCTGATGTGACAGAGACGTTCAGATCTTTGGGGCACAGTTTCAGAGGATTATGATACTTGGTGGCAGTGGCGCGAGTAGGGGCTTTTTGAAAACTCTGAAAATCACTGCGGTATTTGAGGATGCTCATGCTTGGCAGTGACCAGCCACCCCTCCATATGGTTGCTGTTCCTTGCATGATAGCATTCTCCCTGGTGTTTCCCGCACCCTTATTAGGGGTCAGTTAATTAGTTGTCCATTATGCATTGTCAGTGTAGGGACCTCTCACAATGATTGATTGAAAACAGTTATTTTGTAAACAAACAACAGCGGGAGTTTTCCAATGCCTGGGCTGTCACCTGAACCAGTTCAACATAGCTAAAAAAGTTAAAAGTTAAAAGGGAGATCTTCCCCTTTTAACCTAATCTTTTATTTAAAACATTTTCATATGAAAAAGGGAGAGGCTTGAATGCTTCGTGTTTGTAACGTTGCAAAGTCTAGTGAAGGTAGTGAAGGAGGGTGAGCTAAAATTACTTTGCTAAATTTAAGTGCAAGTAAAATGTAGACAACACCAAGAAATTAAAGGGTGCGTCTAAAAATGGAGCGCCGGGTCTAAGTTTTAGATTTAAACTAACTTTTAAGTTCTCCTATTTTTAGGGTCGCATGTCATAATCTGGGAGACCCTGATTGCGTATGAGAAACAGTAATTTTACAATGAAAGTAAGGGGTTTGGTTATGTTGACTCAGTGCGTGTTCAGAAGAATGTGCAAAGGAAGTCTCATTATACGACTCTGTCCTATTCAGAATGACTATATGAGACAATGGAAATAGCCTTCAAGTGTGTAAAATAGGCCATTTGAATTAATTTATCACTTTTTTTTGTTATGATCTCAGAGAAATAGACATCAGATGTGATCTGGGACAAATCTTTAGTGTGTCTAAAGGTTTTTCAAACCTAGATTTGTAGCTGCCTCCTTTTAAAGCCTAACCTATGATTTTTGTATTGTTTTAGTGGGAATGAGATTTTTATACCTGCTTTTGTCTTATTTGTGATCCCTTTTAAGGATAACATTATTGCAGTAATTATTCCCTCTGCAAAACATACTCTAGGGGAAAAGCCATCTCTCTAAGGAACAGGAAAGAAAACAGGTACATATAGAATGACTTTTAAAAAATAGGAAACTTATTTTCACAGATGTAAGCATTCAGCAAAAGTTCCCAAATGTTCATCTGAAAGTGTAGAAATGCATTTGCACCTCAGTTTTGAGAGCAGGGGAGCAAAGGAGTGAAGCCTTATTTAGTGAAGTACTATTGTCCCGTTTCCATTAAGTGATTCTCTGTTACTGGCGGAAAGATTAATTT